ATATGGAATGCAGCATGCGGGACGCAGCTCAGGAGGTATTGAATTTCGTTATCCAGGCATTGACATGATGCAGGCTCAAAGAATTCATTGACAGACAATGACCAAAACCCATTGAAGGGCTTCATGAAATACCCCCGGCACAGTTCCGAACCATGAAGGCTACCTAGTGGTACCGAATCTGAGTGTATATATATATATAGCAGGTGTATGTTGAATAAAGGAGAACCACGACCCCAATGTTCTGCGAACCACAAGGATCGCTGACACAGGAGAAACTCCTGACCAATCCTGACCTATATCGATTCCAACATGCTCAAACCTGTTTCAAGATGCTGTTCCTTCATATTCCTTCCGCATAGGACAGAAACAAACATCGCAACACAGCGAAACCATCCGACCGATGGCAAAAACCGAGTGGTGAATCTCTTGACCGACACCGACCGAAGACACCGACTCGGTCGGATCCAGGGCCTCTGAAGGTGTTCCGTTGAAGCGACTCGCCGTCCAAGAGTTGATGATGGCACCTGATTTGTTCAGTTTGACTATCAATGACTATCTCTGACTATCAAACAACCATATAAACAGTTCAGGTTGTCAATTTGATCAGTTTGTTCAGGACGGCTCCATAGAAACACAACCTGACGTCATCTCTGCGCAGAGAAACATTTCCTGTGCTGAAGGTGCCGTCCTGTGAGGTTTCATGATGCACGCCAGGTGAGGTTTCATAGCATAAAGGAACGAGAAAAGGACGGCATGTCGAAACTGTGTTGGGTGCTGTTTCACTGCCGCTTTCCAGGCAATTCTGAAGTTAAACTGGTGGGGATGCTCGCCGCACAAGGGGGCCTTCCAGAGGTTACCTTATGAATCCTTATGACAAAAATATACAAAAATCAACCTGTTTCTTCAACAAGACGTTGTGGGAAGGGCCTGGTCTGAAAGGACTTGACCACACTTCGCTTGTTGACAATCGCAATCAGCCCTTTGAAAGGTCTTTGATCTCCATGAAGTTCACGTGGCGGAGAAAACATATGATCGTTCGGCCCTCATAGCGTTCAAATCTGATCGTATTTTTTGCATGTGCCGCATTGAATGGGAGACCATTGTCGAATACCAACTGTTGCATATATATATAATTATATATATATTGTTAGATATTGTTAGAGAAAAATCTCTTGTTTGAGACCTTGCACCACCCAGCGGCCAACGCCAGCTGTGTGCGGACCTCGAAGAACTGGGCAGAATGGCACCTGACCAAAATGGGGTTGGCAATGCATTGCTGAGCTGCTGTCCAACCAACAGCAAGTCAACCTCCTACACAAACTCCACAACTGAAGCAAACAAACCACAGGAAAAAGCAACGGCACATCTCGTCACAACTACGCGCTTGTGATTGGGAGGCTACTTGGCAACAACTTGCCATCACTTTGGTGCCGTGCCTTCTTCCCAAGCAAGTTCTTTATTGCTTCTCGCTGGCGTGCTGCGATGGTGGCATAAATAGCCTGAAGCGATCAGGACTCTAGAGTCCCTTGTCTCACGTCACTGTCAACATGGGCTATATAAAGAGAATCTAAAGCTTTGTCTGAAAAAAAGGAGCGATGAACAACCTTGACAACAAAAATGCTACAAGTACCATAAAATCATTCTTTTGATTGAACACGTTGCCGGCTCCACTCAGGGGTGGTAGCGCTTCAAACATCGTCCTGGTTCAAGCCCTGTCTAGTTTGTTGCATACATCCCTGCAGCATCCTCGAGTGGCATCACATCCCATGACTAGTGCCGACAACGCCTCACTAACATGGCTCAGGCATGACAGGCCATAGACCAAGTTGATGTTTTTTGTTCCATCATCTCTCACGCTTGCAGAGGCCGGCCATGTTGTAATTCAAAGGAAGGTGGTCGATGGGCTTCGGCATTTGTTCAACGCTGCTGGCCGCTTAGGCCACCTTCTAGCTGGTCTACAGCTACACAACGCTGGGCGCGATCCCAGACTGCCTCTTAACCAGAGACAGGTTGTATCGGTTGCAAATTAAATGAACAATAATGCTTGCTGATTTGGAGCCGTCTCGGTCAAGATCTAAATCTATAAAGCAAATTGAAACAGGTCCTGGGACGAAGCAGCAATCGCTGTCAGCAACAAATGTGCCAAAGCGTCATACAACATCCTACGCCTTTGACGCTTGGCACAGCCGTTTCTACTAGCCAGTCGCCTACACGGACCCCAGGTCTACCATGGTCTACCACCCCAATGTAGGCAAAATTGCCAGTCAACCCCCTTTCCCTGGGGATCCAGTCGTACCTTCTCAGGTACGGTGATGTGTTCGACACTGTTATGTAGGTGCCAAAACGTCGGGTCCGGTCGTACCGAACCTGAGGGTCCGGTACCTTCCTAGATCCCCAAAAGGGTTGATGGATGTTGATGGTTCTTTTTGCCGGGTCTCTCAGGGTGAAAGCTGAGGTCAGTGGAGTGTCTTTGACAGGACATGAAAAGACTTGGTCAGTGGAGTGTCCCTACAGATCAAAGACCATTCAGAAGACCTCATCTACTGAATGGATCCGGATGAAAATGGTGAATCCTGGATGAATCCTGTATGACGCCTGCACGTCTTGACCGGTCTGCATCCTGGCTAAGACTCCGACCAGCGGGTGGCAGCACATGCGCCTGGCGCCGAGATCCAAGACAATTTCCTGCCATCCTGGCGAAACCCAGATTTGGCCTGAATCAAAGGCCATGTTGGCCTTCAAGATCTGTGCATCTCCCAAATGCACTGGTGCAAAACATCACGCAGAACCCCTCAACCTCGGAGACTGTCACTCTCTCCGCCACACACGGCGCTGAACGTCCTCCGGCTGCGTCCGTCTGCCGCGCCTCCTCTGGAGCGCGGTGGACAAGGCCGCGCAGGAACTGCTGCTGATCGCCTGAGGGAACTGCCGCAGAGAACTGGCGCGGTGTCGGTCCCACCGGACCCCAAAGCAAAGGCTTTGGAGAAGAGTAAAAGCGAATCTGCCTGTAAAAGCGAAATGGGGCACTCTGAAGAGTTTTTGAGATTCTTAGGTTGATTCCTGCTGAGCGCATGGGGGCAAGTCAAGGAGTACAGTCAGCTTAACATTCATGCACACGTTGGCCTGTTCCTGAGGGCAGTCTTGACTTGGCACCACTTCATCTGATGAATATCTTCTGCCTCAATGACATCGGCTTTTCCCAGGCGACTTGAACACGACGTGGGCGAATTCGGCGAAATACCGCGCTGGGCGCCCGCGCGCGCACCACGAAGCGCGTCTCGTCGATGGCCTCGTGCCCAAAAGGGTGGGTTGCTACGTACCAAACTCCCCCTCCAAGCTATAGACCTCCACTAGGTGGACACCCTAGTATCCTCCACTAGGTGGTACTCCATCAGTTGGCGGAACTCCATAGTGGAACTCCTCCAACCTCCAGCCACCTATGGTGCTTCACTTTGCATCCAAAGCAAACCTGTGGAATGCTGGAACAGGTGTGGTTACCGTCGGTTTCAGACGGTCGTTCCATGCGGCCCGGTCCGAGCCTCGCAAAGGAAGTTGGCCTCAGGGCACAGGCTGAAGCCACCCAGCACGGTTCTGATGCCCCTTCTGATCCCGACCTGATCCTCTGACATCTTCACCGTCGAATCTGGTGAAGATTTCTCGGAAACAGCCGCGGGATCTCCTGGATCTCTCTCTCTCTCTCTCTCCGAAATCAGGTCCAATGGCAGAGTGAAAGCCCGTGGTCAGGAGCCATGTGACATGGCTGGGTGGTCTAGGTTAATGGTATAAACAAGTTCACTCGTAGATTGCCTGGTTCTCGCCCATGCCGCACTGGTTCGCCCGACAGATCTTGCCATGTTCTTACTAGTAATGGCCTCCACCCTAGTAGCGATGGCCTTGTTACTAGTAAGTAGAACCGGTATCCTGGGTGTATCACAAGGCTCAAGTTCCCACTTCAGGATCTTCATCTTTCGTCCGTGCCCGGTACTCTCCGGTCCACCGGGCAAACGGGTCCCAATTCCAGCCAACTCAGCACTGCCCGTGAACCAAGCCTCATCACAGCTCAGCATGATGGCATCCACCTGATTGTGGAGGAAGATTGGATGGCAAAGGATTGATGAGAACAAGTGCTGACAAAACCAAATCTTTCCGAAGCGAGGTCGACTGGTTCTCACCAACCAAATCATACAGCGAGCGCCCTGCTCGCCTGCGACTAAGCAAGCACTGGATTTCCGCAGATTGGGTACTAAAACGTCCGGCGTGAAAGGACAAGTCGGACTGACCTACCATACCATGTATATATATATATATAGAATCCTCGATGTCGTTTGGACGAGAACCCTGCAAGTATTTGTCTTTGGAAGGAAGGCAAAAGGCACCTGACAAAACTGTTTCACATCAGAAGCGGAGGCTATATAAACCTATTAGAAACAAATTGAAGGATATACTGTAGACTGTAGTGAGAGAAAACAGGCCTGCCTTGCCCTTGAGGACTTCTGACAATGAGCAGGTGAAGCCACCCTGCCGCTCTCCGATGTCCGTCCGTCTCTAAACAGGCCCGATGGACGATCGATCTTCAGGTCGCATGGCCAGTGTTTTAGAAAGGAAAGACGCATGGTCAATCTACTTGAGTTGTCATCCATATATATATATATATGTCCGTTCAGCTATACTGTTGTATACTATAGTAATATTGTTTGTGAATCACGTTGGTCACAGAGTGTCAGCCTCATTTTGCTTCACGCCTGCAGCGGTTCGAGATCCTGAACTTTGTCAAGAGCATTAAGTGACAAGGTGAGACGGGCGGCTGAGTCGGCAACGAACACTCGGAGCGGCCACGTTGAGGAAACGATCCTTTTGAGGAAAAGGAAGCGCGGCATCTGTATATTATACAGGAAATCACACCAACCAGCACCAAGAATTGGTCATCTGTATATACTGTATACTGGATACTTGGGATACTTGGGATTCGTCTCATTCAAAAGGTATGTTCAGCATCCACTCATTCCTTTCCACATCGCGAGGGATCACTTCGATTCATCACCTCCCATTTTCCTCCAATGAAACTGCCCTCACCTCCGTGTTTGGCGGCCTCAAAAGCAGGTCTGTGACGGACAACGCCGAAGCACTGAAGCTTGGCGCCCAACACGGGCGACGCCCGGAATACAAGGAGGATCTAATATCTGTACTGTATGTTCCCCTTCCCTAGCGACCCGCGCGCTTTTTGAAAGCGTGTCATGTGCAACATCCCAGCCCGAGCTGAAGGAGTATCCAAAGGGGAATAACAAAACACATCTCCTTCAATTGGATTCAATTGGAAGAAAGGATGCTTTAGTGGCCTTTACTGGATAAGAACTTGGGTTATGGTCACCGGTTGGGAAAGGATCGCATGTCCTGCATCACAAGCAGGATCTGCTTTTCCTACTCCGGGCCCTGCAAACCCCCTCAGGATCACCTCACTGCCGCCGTTGGTCTATATAGCTGGTAGCTGTTGACACTCAATCAACATGCACATGGTTTAAAAAATAGTGGAAAACCACTTGATATAGAGTAAAATGGCCATGGAAGAGGGGTAAGGGATCAAAATAAAAATAAAAATAGAATCAAAAAATGTTCAACGGGGATCAATAAAAAATAAAAAGGTAATCAAAAAAAAATATTCTAGCCCACTGAGGATGGTTGGGGTAGTAGTAGTAGTAGTAGTAGTAGTAGTAGTAGTAGTAGTAGTAGCAGTAGCAGTAGCAGTAGCAGTAGCAGCAGCAGCGTAGCAGTAGCAGTAGCAGTAGCAGTAGCAGTAGCAGTAGCAGTAGCAGCAGCAGTCAGCAGTCAGCAGTCAGCAGTCAGCAGTCAGCAGTCAGCAGTCAGCAGTCAGCAG